GGGATCCAGAGACAACTGAATACTATTCGCTCACAGAAGAAAAACCTTCCCAATTACCTACTTATACCCGAATCTACAGAGTGTCTCAAGATTACTACAGCGTACGGCCAATCACGATGCATGGTCAGAACCTCGTTGTTACCCCGTTCCCTGATTTTTAGGAAAAAAATCCTTCACCAAAAATTGTAGGAAGAAGCATAAAGGAAGAACAAAAACAACTCACGTCCTTTCGTGCTGTTTCGCTCTCAGGAAAAACTGCCAAGTATAGAACAAGTGTGTCATACATGCAGTCCCGGTATATCTCAATGGCCCGAATGGCGAATTCAGGATGATTCTGCAGAGAAATTTGCCATATTTCAAGATGAGTAAATGCACTTGATTTTTCAAGAATGACATGCAATGTCGATGCCTACAGAACACTTCAGAGAAATTTGAATGAGACGTACGCATACAGGCTTTCCACTTATTTTTCAGCGCGCAACCATGCACCCAGAGTGAGTGCATTCTACTGTTTCTAGATAAAACCAACCGTGATATCCAGAATCTGCCTATCTAAGTACATATCCCTGTGTTGTAAAATGCAGGCACGTAGTTGAGTAGGTGTGAGATATGGCATTTTTCGCACATTATTCACAACCTGAATCAATAAGTAGTCAAATAAACGAGTACAATAAAGGTGTCATCGACCGCTTCAATCTACATTCCAAGGAAATCATCCTTAGAACTATAGATTATCATACCTGAATAGAAGAAGCTAAATCAAGAGGGCCCGAAAACTTATTAAACAACTCTTCGAGAAGAAACGATCGTGCTTCAACAAGTTTATCAGCAATACCCTGGAACAGGAGTAAAGAATGGACGAAAGTTGTTGCACAAATACTGCTTAAATGTTTTGCTGCCTAAGATACCTTGATCAAGGGATTTTTAATAATGGAATGTTGTTGAAGCATCATTCCATAATTTGTTAGCGAATATGCAGCCTCGTAATATCCTGCACGAATACAAACATCCATTCTCTATAAAAGATCACAGTTCAGGATAAATGAGGTCAAATTTTGAAATTCTAGAAGTAAAATCAAGGAGAATGTGGGAATAATCAAAGCAAAGGTGTTCTCAACGGGTTTGGTTTGTAAGCAAAAAGTCATATTCTGGTCACATAAATTATAATATTATTCGTGCAAAACGAAATATACTTATTAGAAGTTTACAGGTATCTTTCTGAAAGCCCCATAATTACAATAACACAGCTTTATTCGATCGATGCATTCCTCTTCACGGTTCCACCGACATGTTTACCGAATACTTGCAAGTTTCATAGGAGCAATGGACATATCGAAATTTGTAAGTATGGTCCTTTGGATAGGATAGGTTCAAAGCTTATTATTATTAGATGTATGGAAAGGCTGGAAGCTGAGCTACTAGATTTATACGACGCCATTCATTTCGCACATCTCCAATCTGACAAGGCTAAGTAGGTACCCGGAAACTTATTACCAACCGCTGTACCAAGATGATATTCGAATTTTTGTAAACTCACAGAGGGCAACGAAAGCAGCTCCCACACGAGATTCTCTTTCTGGCAGGCTGACTGCACTATATCCAATTCATTCGACACGTCTTTTGTACGAGCATGGAATGCTCGTAACTCCGATGCGAGTTCTGGGACTTGTGCTGACACCACCCGTAGCTTATCCTTCATTTCCGTAAACTGAAAACACCAGCA